TGTTATTTATCGTTCGCTTAATGCTATTGCTAGCATAAATCAATGTACACAAATGGTTTTATTTTCATTGCAGGTCCCAGAAACCATGTTGTTTAACTTCTTTGAAATACAGTGAAATTGGCTTGAATACGTTTTCTGCGGTAACTATTTTTCGGTATTATTATTTTGTGTGAATATTATAAGGTAGAAAATATTGAATTATCGCATGTAATATGATTTCACCATGTTAGAAGTAGCCCTTTATCTCCTAAATTCAAGCTAAACACGTCACATTACTGAACTTCAGTAAGCATAAAATGATATACTAAATTCTTGAAAACCACAAAACATTCTTCCAAACAACAAAACTATGTAACTGGAGAATTGTGAACTTGATCGAAAAAGAGTAACCTATGGAGTTTCTTGCTCTTTCTTCTCCATAGGAATCTACACCTTGGAATGAGCAAATAGCTTCACTTGTTAATTTTCTTTATTGACGTTCAAAAGTGCCTCTATGGTCTAATTGAAATAAATAATTTTGACTTTGACTTTGACTTTGACTTGAATGACTAAAAATAAGGTTTTATACCTATAACAATTTAAATTATATTTATTACTAGCTTAACAGCTGTTGCCCGCGGCTTCGTCCACGTAGAATATGAATTTTTGGAAATAACTTTATTTTAATTCAATTCCCCGTACCGTACCGTACCAATAAAAGTACCGTCAAAATCGGTCTAGCCATTCCAGAGATTAGCTAGTACAAACAGACAGACAGATAGACAAAATTCTAAAAAACAGTATTTTAATATGTGTAACGTATGCATATTCATATGCATGTAGTAAAATGCCGTTGCTTTAGTATTAAAAAAATCTCAGTAGTAGCACTGAGTCTAGAACTATGCTCAGTATATGGTTGTGCTTACAAACATACACTTTAATTTTATTCTTTATTTTTTTTATGGGCCGACGTTTCTCCACTACCTCGCCTGGTGGTAAGCGATGATGCGGCCTACGATGGAGCACGTCGTCCCATAAGCAACCTATTCACTCAGGCCTTGAAGACACCCAGATTATTTATCTTTATAGATATATAGATACAGAACCATACATAGAATTAGTTCTTAAAGTCTATACATTAGTATGGACTTTAAGAACTAATGTCGGAAGACACACAGGGGAGTAGGTAAACGTTCTGTTCATACGCAAACACGACATGTGATTCCATTTCCTAAGTGTACGTGTCCTATTCAAATAATATTGAAAATCTAATATCTTGCTTGAAGAGAGTTTAGTACGAGAATAGTTGGCGCTACGTGATATTGTGGGTTACTTGAACACAATATCATTTTATTATAGGCGTTTATATGAAAGCTGTTTAAATGTGACTACTAGTTCTAGATTAAATTTGGACTCCTATGAGTTGGAGGTGAGAAATTATGAGGATATTAGTTTTAGATTATAAAAATTCCTAGTGTTTTGGTTTCATTGGTAAAAAGGTGAAATATTTGATGACGGGGAACTTCAAAAGGCGCCTAGATTTTTGGGGAGAAAAACTAGGGAGTGTGAAATTCGTACCTCACTAAAACCACCCCAGTGGCCACCCTCAGCACCTGAAAGGGGCTCCGGGTCCTCTGAAGATATCTGCTTCGGAGCCCCCACGGTGCAAGGCTTGTTACAGCACATCTCTAGGGAGACCTGTGTGTCGCTTTGCACGGCAGAACCTGAACAAGTGCTACCTATATATATATAATTTATTTTTTGCAATAAAATGATGTATAATGATTTCAAACCAACTTTATCCCAAATACTATTTTATGTATTAATAAAAAATAGGACCACTTTGTAAATGAAGAAATTTTAATTAACAGTGATAGATACATAAGCGACATTACACATTTTACTTTAAAATAAAGATTTTATATCACTGCTATTGAAGAACAACAACACAAAATAACCATGTGCCTATAGAAGAAGAAAGAAAGAAAGAATATAGCGTGTTTTAAAAAGAGAAATCTCATTCCAACACAATCCTAATACACTATTTCATTTCAGGTACTGAGCACAACTTGGTCGTACTTCTCTCTAGCTTCGAGTCTATATGAAAGTGAAACTTGAAGACTTTTAATTATTTAATTTATTAGTTGCAAAGTTTCACCGTTAGTGGTAGTACGAAGTAGGATTAGGTTCATGTTAATAGTGTTGAAGTTTCAATAAAGTTTTTCTTTCGATTTATAGCGTTTTGATTTTGATATGTGGTTCACTGTGTTAATAATTGAAGTTCCATGGAAAATTTGCAGCTGAACTGAGTTAAAAAAGAAAAATGTTTGCATGCCTAATTTTAGACAATATTCTTATCAGTCCATTTTGATTTTTATACGAAATACGTCTTCTACGAAACATTTTCAGATTCTTTACGATGTGGTATTACTAGTAAGATTCATTTTCGTTCTCAGCACTTCCTTTACTGGTCATCGTAATTCATGATTAATTACAATTATTTTACTCATAGAAGCACTTCTAGTTCAACTAACGATTAACATGCTCAAGTTAATAACCAAAACCAACTCACTTAAACTTAAAATATCGTTCTAACAAGCTACGTCTGCCATACTTAATACAAAAAGCCAGTATTCGTATTCCCATCACAAAGGACGATTGTTCTGTTAACACTAGCGCCACATAATACAATTACGGGCACAGCACTAACTATTTGCTCTCCTCATTCCTTTTAATTAGAAGCTTTTTATTGTCAGCATGAGGCCAATAAATTCAATTATTCAACTCGAGGCAGCGGCCAGTTCTTTTCCACGTTTTTTCCCTCACAATTGGATTTCATTGGAGCTCATTGGTTTTGTAATAAGAATTGGTGCAAATTATCTGTTGTTTGTAATTGGAAAAATAGATTTTTGTTTTTTCTTTGGTGCGGTTTGAAGGACGAATGAGGATTTGGATTTTTATTGTTTTTTGCGTGGTGCTTTGTTAGTTGTAAGCAAATTTCTGTGTCGACTTGTGTAACATTGTCAATATTAAAAATGGTCATTTCGATATTCAAGCCAATGTTTCAAGTGTAATAATGTAAGTACCAATTATATTTGTATGTCTATCACGGCATAACATAGTGGACTATCTTTATATGTAAAACCTTATTATGTAAACTACCTATGTTTGATAAATAAATGATTCTGATTCTGATTAAAAAAGTGTGTGAATTTATCTGTGTAAGTATTGTTGAAAATACCTAAGAGAAGTAAGTAAGTAGATAACGTATTTCTTTTTATTGAATTGCCTTCAGAAAATAAAATAGGCTAACACATAGTCAAAGTAGGTGTCATCATATACCCTTTCACAAAATTATTAGTTAATGTTTTATTTAAGTAAGTTTTTAAAAACAATATTAGTCATACAACGAAACTAGCAAAATCTTCTTTCCAAATACTTCCTTTTTCATGGTAATTCGGAGAAAAATATGATAATATTTTATGCACATTTTCTTTCATTTTGTTCAAGCTATAAAAAGATGAATATGGTGTTCAAAGCTCGTGCCATTTTTATATTACCTACTTATCTTGAAGGAAAGCTACTGCTTTCACTTGAAGCGGGGCGTGCTTCATTTTGGTCACGCTCTAGTAACCATGGAAGGGGTAGATGGTGCGCTTATCTACATACTACATGCTTCAAGAATGATGAAAAAACAAATATGTGTTGTCTAAAAAGTAAATACTTTTGGGGACAAGATGTTATTACATAATTTTGTTTACAGCTTCAATTCACATTAAACTGTCAAACACCAAGCGGTCACCGGTGACCGCAACCTATTGTTCTATAATTGTGTCTACTAAACCGGTACTCGACGAGTTAAATATGTGCGACTATCGGACAAGGAGCTCGAGTTCGATTCACGGGTCGGGCTAAGTATTACTGGGTTTTAAAAAAAATCTCAGTGATATCACGGAGTCTGGAATTGTGCCCGGTATACAGCAATAGGCTTGCCCCCTATTATATGAGACTCATAATATAAAATAGTGAAAAGTGGATGTTACATTAAGTGCCACGATGTGCACCTCTTCCTACCCTTTCGGGGGTAAAAGGCGTGATTTTATGTTATGGTACACATTAAATATCTAATTACATTATCAGCCTATAAGTGGTGATTGATAGCCAAAGGACTCTCCTTATAGCGAGAATGTTTGAGCTTTAATCACTACGCCTGCTCAATGCGGGTTGGCGATTTCAAACTTATAATTAGAAATTATAAACCCAGGTTTTCTAACGATGTTTTCTTTCAACTTTCATCGGTGGTGTCTAAATAAGGGAGTATATATAACTCGAAAAAGTCACATTGGTACGTGCGGCCGTCCTTTGGCCCAACACCGCAATAAATATAGTACCGAATAGATCTTCTGTACTCATAATTTTACTTTCGAGGATTTTTGTTTCAATTGTGACCAACAACTACATCAAAGACGCAATCATTTCAATCATATTATCAACTAATGCAAGAAACTCAAGATTGAGAGAACTTCCTAAAGATTTCAAGGTAGCTCAACAAATTGCCGATTCCCAAAAGTATCCGAAAACTTCCTTCTATCAACATTTCAATACAACTTTCCATATTATCTTCTATTCGACGAAATACTGACTTTGTGGAAAATTCCACTTCGAGTTTTCTCATTAAATATAATAAGTTTAATGGAAAATCAAGATGTATACAGAAAATCGTTGTGTGGTGTCAGTCTTTTCAATATGTGAATATTCAGACCATTCATCTACACTTGCATACCTGAAAGAATTTTTATATGTTGCGTATACCTATATTTGTATATATTAAGTGATTAATTGAAGACGTAGTGAGTTATTGTGAAAACAAAAGTACTTTTTATAAGACGCAATAATACGTCCTAAACAAGAAAGTCTGATGCAAGGGTTAAACTAAACCTGGTACTTACTATCTCATTGCTATGATTAACACTAGCACGTAGGTGTGTAATTTAGGGCGCTGTAAGATATATTAGACTACGTGACTAGAAGCATCCAGAAATTCCACATACACAGAAGTCATTGAACAGATAGTCTGTTTGGCTGGAGCCTGTTAACCTATTAAACTCCTAAAAAGGTACATACATACTTTTAAACATGCTCTTAAATAGCATGATAAAAGCCGTTTAACTCGTCGAGTACCGTCATTATAGACACAATTATAGAACAATAGGTTGCGGTCACCGGTGACCGCTTGGTGTTTGACAGTTTAAGCATGCTCAAAAAATTTCAAAAGTGGAGCGTCTGTCCATTCGCAAACGTGCCTGAAATGAGTATGCCAATTTTAAACAACATTCCGATACATATGCTATTAACTCGTCGAGTACCGTCATTATAGACACAATTATAGAACAATAGGTTGCGGTCACCGGTGACCGCTTGGTGTTTGACAGTTTAAGTGATCAGTGCTCAATTGAAGTATGGTTTCGTGCTTGCAATTAGTATAATGTAACAGAACTCTTAAGCAAAGGTGTACACGTCTTTCAGTTGTTTCATTTTCCATCAGTAATGTTATGAATCGCATGTTATAAGGGGTGGACATTGGTCACATCGCTTCCCACCAGGTGGTTTATTTAAGTGAGCTCTACTGGATTTTGTTTCGTAGTGTATAGAAAAAAGGATGGTTGTCCTCTCAATCTCAAGGTCAACAATCCACCTCTATTTTTGCGACTAATCCTATAATTTGTAATAACTTCTAAAGTTTGTCGATTCGAAAAGTAAATGTCATTGGGTCTTTTCTTTTGGGCATAGAAGTTCTGATGTTAATTTGACATTTATTACTATGATAAGACTTAGTTGACATTTATAAGTTGATATTTTCGTTATAGCGTTTAATATTGAAGTCTTAAAATAACTTCAAATTGATTATAAGAAAGTTTAGTTTTATTTGGAAAATCGAAAGTGGAACTGGTAGGAATTCTTTATTATTGAGTTTTTTATTCGATACCTACTTTATATATGACTGTGAGCACACCGGGAACATTTGTTTTTTTTATAGGACAAACTGGTAAACGAGCAGCCTACCATCAGGTGATTCGTAATCATTTAGAAGTCAGGTGATTCGTAATCACCTGACGGTAGGCTATCGGCAACGGCCATGGGCACCCGAAACACCCAAGACGTTTTGTGTCCGTTGCCGACTTTATGGGGGACAAGAATTTGAGAATTGCTGGGGATTTAGGGATTGTTGAGATTGGGGAGAGAAATAATTGGGCCTCACTTATATGACGAATACTTCTTCTTATCCTTTGAAGATGTGAAAAGCGATGAAAGAATAAGTAGATTTGTCATAGTTACGTACACACCAGATACAAACTCAAACTCAAACTCAAAAGCATTTATTTCAATTAAACCATAATTTGGTACTTTTGAAACGTCAACAAATATGAAATATATAATAGTCTGTCAGTCTGTCCGTCAGTGAAGCTAGGCCCTCGTTCCAAAATGTCGATTCGAGTGGAGAAGAACGAGCAAGAAACTCTATTCGTTACTCTTTCAAAAAAAAGTCTGTTTTACATTGCTCTGATACATATTGCAATATTGTACACACATGTGAGAATAATGTAAAGACATACCTGACGCAACATACAAATAATAGAACATACTAAAATAAAAAAAAAAAACAAAACCAAGAGAAAACAAATATCTTAAGTCTGACATGGTCCTCACATATGTATACTGACAATCTATATAAAATAGTGCTTCTATACAAGAAAAAAAAATACAAAACCAAAAATAGAATAACGACAAAAGCTAAGCGTTTCATCAAAGCAATTACTTTCCAACCGCATGTGGCTTGTAAAAGCTAAATTTTCTCTAGCATTTGAGCGTCCATTTAGAAGTCGATACATGGACCTCAGTACATTGTTTAGCAGCTGTGGTTATGACAAATTACCGACGTAAGCGTTCTCTGTACCAACACTGGGACGATGTCCAAGAGGCAACGTGACCAGAAAATTATTGAGATTAATTCACTTATGTTCTGTTTGGAGAGTGAAATCTGAAGTGGATAGATGTTGCTTGTAGGGTAACTGTTATTTTTATAAGCGCAAGCAAAGATGTGCTTACATTACCGACAT